TTCTTGGAACTGACTGTTTCAGGCACTATGAACAGTACCGTGAACAATAACGAAGAGAAGAATGGTAGGGTAAAAAATGGTAAGAGTCCACATACCCTTGAGTGACTTGTCAGTCTCTAGGTAAGGTCCACTATGAATAGTGAAGCAGCTCAAGTGGCATTATGTCATGCAGGAAACCATATAATTCTCGTTAGTTGCAATTAAATAGTTACAACATTTTGAGACTCAAGGTTTTATGAGGGAAACTTATTTAAGGACAGTAACCCATTATAAACCATAGCAGATGTCTGATCTACCATTCTAACTTACTAGACAATTAAAAGACCATTACCTGCCCCTAAAACGTACATAAGTCCAGGAAAAGTAGATAATTCAGGAAATTTTCAAATCCTTGTGGTTATCATTAAAAACAAAACAAAAAAAGACTGGAGTTAATTCTGAATGGTCTGATTCAAATTAAAATTGTTGTAAAACATCTTGAAAGCTTTCATTGCAACTAATAAAGACTTCAAGGTTTAATCCTTAATTGACTGCATCAGGATTTCTTAGAAATGTTTTCAGCATCTCTCTCCCATTCCTGTTTTGATGGTTCTTAGTAAGATCACCTTTGGCGCTTCAAAGACCCTTCTGACACCCAAAACAATTAAGCAAGAACTCTTCTGCCATTGAATTGGAATGAGAGTTGAGCATGGCGAAATGATAGCCTTAAAACATTAAAAAGGAGATAAGAGTTATATAGAGGAGATTATTCTTTGTGGACATTGTGAAATCATATTGGGGTGGATTAGAAGTGGCTAATGATGCAATGTAGCTTTAGAATTTTAGCTCTTCTCAAATTGTAAGCTTCACGTTCCTCTAGTAATAGCTCAATCTTTAACGTGGACCCTGTGGAATACTTCACACCTTATCACAGTCAAAGCCTTTTGATAGTGCATTAGGCCTTGTTGAACTACAAGGGATGGATCAAATTTGAAATTTTACTTTGAAGAACATTTCAGCAGAAAAAGGATGCAGTAATCTAATTTATTCCTTGCAATGGATTTCAAATGACTGAAGGAATGGTACTTTGACAAATCTGTACTTTTCGTGCATAATCGCATGTGATTTCAACATTTGTATTTGTATAGTTTTATTCAGGTGTTGCATTTTGACTTTGTTAGTTTTGTCTTTTAGTTCTTGCGTGCATCAATATCAATGTAGTGGAGAGAAGCTTGTATTTGTAGATTTGAATTTGATTGTAGTGCCTAAAGATTTTATTTTTTTGTGTTACAAATTCTCTGCAAATACTTTTTCGATAGAAATGTCTGTGATTGAGAGACTTGAACACGTGTCTCAGTAGGTACTCTTCTTTTTGAATGTTGTATTTGTGCGTTTTTTGGTTTTCTCTCAACTTTTATTTTTTATTTTTGTATTTTTTAAATTTTGCTAGTGTTGCATCTTGCCAAGTGTCTGTCTTTACTAGTCCTCTATAAGATCATGCTTGTGTTAGCTTTGACTTCATTTTTTGTAAGTCACTAATGTTTCCCTTCAGTTAACTGCACTTATCTACTGCTAATTTTTTGACCAAAAAAAAAAAAAGAAATCTATACTTATTGTTACCTGCAAGTCCTTTTATTGGTTAGCATATGGCTCGTTTGTTATTTTGAGCTTATGGCTATGTTTTTCTGCAGTTCCTTTGAGTGGTCGACTCGTGATTGCTGAAGCTCTTGGAAAGGGGAAAACTTCTTTGAAATCCAACAAGTCAAAGGACCAACTAGAGAAAGACAAATATCTTTTCAAACGAAGAGAAGAACCAAATGAGTTTAAAACCCACATAATCAGCCGTGGGCAAGGAGGCTCCTCTAGCCTGCCTTCTCAGGGCGTTGGTTCTGTTCATCTGTTAGAAGGCATGCATTCTTCTGTAGTAGATCAAGCAGGTCAAACTTCTGTATCTAGAGTGACTGGGGGTTTTGAGCAATCTGCAAGTCAACCAGCTGGTGTTGAACAATTCCGTGGGCAGGAACATACTCACAACAGCGTTGGTGGAAATTTCCTTTCTGACATTAATGATATAAAACCTGTTGCTCAGGGTTCTAAGCTGCAGACTGATAGTGGGACAAAGAAAGGAAAGCATCATAAACGTCCAGTAGGGGAGGTGAACTCTGAGAAATCTGGTTCAGTGGAAAAGATTAAGAAGAGAAAGAAAGAAGGAAGCAGGGAGAATAGCTCACATAATGTGGTGATACCCGGTATTAATGTTAAAGAAGCAGCATTTGCCGGAAAAGTTATCGGCAAACCTGCAGAAAAATTTTCCGGTCGTGGAGACGATTCTCAAGTTAAGCATCTGGGAAATGATGATGCAGTAAAAGGTTCTCTGTTGCCCGACTTGGGAACTAAACCCTCGATGGTGAATAATGATACTCAGCTTGAACTTCCCCGGTTGCTTGATGATTTGCGAGCTCTTGCTCTTAATCCCTTCTATGGTGCAGAGAGGAGTTGTCATGCAATTGTACGACAGGTAATTTTGAGATTTCGGTCCCTTGTCTACCAGAAAAGCTTGTCCTCACTGGTTCCAGGTGAGAATGAATCAAAAGATGCTCATGGTATAACGCCCTCTCCTGTCTCCTCTGACAATCTTCCTGATAATCTGAGAGAGAGGTCATCTGTGAAACCTCCTAAGGCTCCAACCAGACTGGACGATCCCACAAAAGGTGGGCGCAAACGTGCCCCATCAGATCGTCAAGAAGAATTGACTTTGAAGAAAAAGAAAAAGATGAATGATCTGAAATTACTGACTACAGAGAAGAAAGCTGCTCATAAGGCTCCAGAGGCTCAACGAGGGGATCCAAAGGATACAAGTACAAAGACTGTGGCTCAAGCACCAGAAAAGAAGGCTGCTCAGAAACCTCCAGAAGTTCAAGTAGGAGATGGAAGAGAAATCCCCAGAAAGACAATGCCTCTGGCACCGGGCAAAGTTTCCAGATTGGATCCTGCCAAGACAAGGGGGCTGCCAGCGAGGGCTGCTGATCCAACAATGCTGGTTATGAAGTTCCCAGCAGGCGCAACATTACCATCTTCTGCAGAGCTGAGGGCTAAGTTTGCACGATTTGGGCCACTTGATCATTCAGGTACCAGAATCTTTTGGAAGTCATCTACAATTCGTTTGGTCTATCACCACAAAATTGATGCCCAGGCAGCTTTAAGATTTGCTACCAGTGGTGCCACTCTTTTTGGGAACTCGAATGTAAGGTGCCACCTTCGTGATGTTGAGGCTCCTGAAACAGACTCTACCAAGGTCCAAGAAGATCCTTACCCCGGAATCTCGCAATCCCGGGATTCCCCAGTGTTGCAGCAAAGGCTGGCGGCAGCTGGTGTTTCTCAGCCAGTCCAACTTAAATCCTGTCTTAAAAAACCATCTGGGGATGATGGGGCATCAACAGGAGGTGGTAATGGCACTGTTAGGGGGCGTGTGAAATTTATGTTGGGTGATGAGGGAAGTGTTAGGACAAGTTCTGATGATGCTGCAACTTCTCATGGTTTGAATTATAATAGTGAGAAAATACATACGGTTATTCCTCCACCTCCACCTCCACCATCAATTCTTCCTGTTGCACCAAATAAATTTCACCATACTGAATTAGTACCAAGAAATGTGCAGAGTTTCAGTATGCCTGCTGTCCAACCTATGCCAACGCATATTGATATATCACAACAAATGATAAGTCTACTCGCAAAGTGCAAGGATGTCGTGAACAACGTGACGGGTACCCTGGGCTATGTGCCCTATCACCCTCTTTAAAGAACTCATATGGCTAATGGGGCGGCATCACTGAACCTGCACGTCGACTCGCATACAAAGGCAACTTGACAAGCTGTGATTCAGAGCCCCTTCCTATCAGAAGTTTGGCGAGGATTTTTTATGTTGCCGCAGAGGATTAGAATGGTAAATCTTGTACTGCAAATGGTAATGGTGATGGTGCTCTAGTATTTATTTTGCTTCTCTTTTTTATTATTATTTTTTTAAAATTTAGTTGACCAAAGTTTTCCAAAAGTAACTGCTGAACTGTTCTGGGGATATAGCCCTCAACGTGTTATCTTTGTAGGCATATACCGTTTGGCATTAAACTTCAGAAATACCACTAGTTAGACAAAGTTGAATTGGGGATTCTGTCCGTCTCTCCCACTCTCGGAAACATATAAATACACAACCCCACCCCCAGAAAGAAAGAAATAAAAAAAAACCCCAAGAAAACAAATAAAGGAAATGACCTCCAGTCCCACACATCCCAGGTAGGCAATATTATTACTAATAATCAGATGAAGAAAAGCTGGAGTGAGCATGAATTCGCTTTTATGATGTAAGGTGAATGTGATTGCGCCATGGTAATGAAAGTCTGTCCGGTCAGCATACACTTGTGGGAGTTGTATTGCTAGTGGATTCACTGCTTGCTCTCTGTCTCCTAGTGTTTGAGCCGAGCTGGAGTGAGCTGCTTGCACTGCTCTCTCTCTCTCTCTCTCTCTACCAAGTATGTCCCAACTCGTGTAAAACGAACCTTTTACCAATATATGTTATGCATATTCTTTCTCTTGTGGGAAATGCCTACTTGACTGATTAGTTGCCGTTTCTTTTCACTAATTTAAAAGAGTTGGGAATGATTTGTGGTGGATTCTGGTTTTGGTCCTTGCGGAAAAGTTCAGAACCTAACCAAAGAATCGGATACTCTTTTTTTAAGCCCTTAAGTTTTAACCCCCCAGCCCACAAGTTGAATATCAGTAGTATTGTGGGCAAAAAAAGAAATGTCATCGCTAAAAATAAGTACACTTATTAAAAGTTAAAAGAACAATAAAAAACCATATGTGAATGAATGGGCAGCTTAAAATGGGCTCGCACTTTTGTGAATAGTGGCGAGGACGCCACACGTTTCCTTATCTTTCAAGGCGGAGAAACCCAATTGGAAAGATGGAAAGATGGAAGAATTGTACTTGAAATTATCCCTATTATTAATTGGTTAAACTGCTTTTTTGTTTTTTCACTCTGGAATTTCTCCAGAACCATCGCTTTCCGCGTAGCGTAGAGTTATCCATATCCATCCACTCGAACCGTACGCGCAGCAAACAACAACAAGAAAAGCGGCTAAAAGGGTTGAACAGAACAGCATAGATGCTTCTATGCCTATTTTGTTATGTATATGTATTTATCTTCATCTGCAAGAATCTTATGATTCAGGAAACATAAATGACGGACCACACTAAATATGCTCTCCTTTTTGGAAAAAAAAAAAAAAAAACTTCCCTCTGTTTGAATTTTGATGATGTGATTTGGGTCGGTTTGGTATTGGGATAGGAATCTTCTCTGTCATTTCCTTTTCTCAAGTCGTAAGCTTTGCATTTGCAGCCTCCTATATATTGTCGTACCCATTCCTGCGTTCTTCGCCATCCAAATTTCTTGAATATTAGTTCCTGTAGTATCCAATTCTTTTCTCTTATAAAACCATCTTTTGTTGCTTTCAATCTCATATTGATCCTTCAAGAAAAGAGAAGGGAAAGCTTCGAGTTTTGATCTAGAATGGAGTGTTATCCATTGGACCTTACCATCATATCTGCAGAGGGATTAAAGAATGTCAACGTGTTCTCGAGAATGGATGTTTTTGCCGAGGTTAGGATTTTGGGATACCCCAAGAACAAGCAGAAGACGCACGTTGACAAGAATGGTGGCACCGCTCCCAAATGGAACCATCACATGAGATTCATAATTGATGAGCCTTCCCTTAACAATCCAGGCGTATCCCTCCTCATTAAGCTCAAGTCTGACCGCACTTTCGGCTCTGACAAGGAGATTGGAGAGGTTAACCTCCCGATCTCTGAACTTTTCAATGGTGGTGTCGATGCTGACACGAAGGATTCAGGCGAAAGGGTCGTGGAATATCAGGTCAGGACCTCCTCGGGAAAGACCAAGGGAACCATCAAGTTCTCGTACAAGTTTGGGGAAAAGTTCAAGCAAGAGGTGGAAGCCAAGAAGAAGAATGTGGGTGAGCCTGTAACCGCTTATCCTGCCCCGCAACACGCTGCAGGGGCTAGCATGGCATACCCGCCCCATTATGATCAGGGTTATGCTATGCCCCCTCCCGGTTACCAGCAGCCCTATGGAGGATATGCTCCTCCTCCTCCAGGATATGGTGGATACCCTCCTCCTTCAGGGTATCCACCTGCAGGTGCACCAGGATATGGATATCCACCCCCGCCCGGGTACGGATATCCTCCTCAGCCATACCAGCAAGTCCAGCCCCCTAAGAAAGAAAAGAACAAGATGGGAGGTCTTGGCCTGGGGTTAGGGGCTGGATTGCTTGGAGGGCTGCTGGTTGGAGATATGATGTCTGATGTCGGAGAAATGGCTGCCTATGATGCAGGCTATGACGATGCATTGGGTTTCTAGATGATGATGATGATGATGATGGGATTATCAGTGTTCTAACCATGTTTTAATGGTTAGTTAACTTGGGTTTTTTACAGAGCTCTCTAAGGATCTGAATGGAGCTTGATGTTTTATATTAGCATAGCCATTTGTCTTTTTCGACTTTTTGGTGTTTTGAGAGGGAGAGAGAGAGACTGGAATGGGGAATGATAAACAGAAACATTATGTTGATGTATATATGTTTTGTCATTGACCTTGACAGTAAGTCAATTCGATTGACTACTTTTTTTTTATTTTTTCTAATGTGGATCTTTTTATTTTATTTTATTTTATTTGTTTGGTCCCCTTTGTTTACATAATTTTGGTTCCTTGATGTGTTCTATTGAAAAGGTCTGATCAATTCAATAAAGTAAGCATCAGATGCAATTGTGAAGGGGAGTTGTAAGATGGATGCTATTATTGTTTCCTTGTGGTTGCACATTCATGCACAAGATTTCATGTTATAAAATAAGATTTGATGTTATAGATTCTTCGATTTTTTTAATTGTTTGAATTGTAATTTTCCGTAAAAAAATTTATACATTTATCATTAATATATTTTCTAATCATTTTTTTAACTCATATATATTAAATCACTACGCTATAATACATTTTTTACATTAAAGAAAGGCAAAACAATTTTTTGATTTCCCCCTTATAGTGACTTAAAGGTGTCACGTGACCCAATGCAAATGCCCATTCTATAGCCCTTAGCAACATCCGAATGTCACAAGAATGTACAAATTTATACTTTCCATTCCAAGTTGATTGTTCATTATTTACATGTTATTGGTGTAACAAGGAGTTGCAGCTAAATTTCAGAAATTTACTTATATACTGTTTAAATTAGTTTATTCTTACCCTAGATTTTTTTTTTTTAATTCTTGTGTTTATTTTCTCTCAGTCTGTTTGAGCATGCATTGTTTTCATGTGCATTCAATGTCGTATTAATTTTCAAAGTAAATACATCTCTCTCTCTCTTTTTTTTTTTTGGTCCTTTAAGGGAAGATTAGTTGAAGTTGGTTAAAAGTCTTCTCCTAGATAAGAAAGAATTCGTTTGAGATTATCCTTTTACTATTAGAATTCAGCTCCATGTCTAATTCTAATCTATTTGTACTCCTTTTCTTTATCAACTTCAACATGGTCAATTAATCTTCTCTGTACAATGCTTCTTTTGCACCCTAATTTCCTCTCGATTTCTGGGATTCTTCTCTCCTGAATTCATCCAAGAAAAAATGGGCTACATACCCTTAGATATCATAGTAAAATCAGCAGACGTTTTCAAGAATTTCAATCTTTTCTCCAGAATGCATCTTTACACAACTGTATCCCTTCTAGGAGACGACGATCCTTCCACCTCAAAGCAGAAGAAAACAAAGGTTGATGAACACAGCGGGTCGCATCCCTTTTGGTGGTTTCCAATGAAGTTTCAAGTTGATGAATCAAAGTTGCAGAAAGACAATCTCATGCTTTTGTTCCAAGTGAAGTGTAGTCGAAATTTTCGTGGTGACAAAACTGTTGGTGTTCTTACCCTTTCACTAAAAGAATTATATGACTCTAGTAAAACCCAAAAATTCCCTACCAATGTTGCTCATACCATCAATTCTAGGAATTCTGGAAGACTTCATGGTGTGCTATATTTCTCGTATATGTTTTGCTGTGACAATGGCAATGAAACTACTTGCATCGATCAGAGACAGAAGAATTATCAGAGTTATGATCACCAGAAGATGGATCAAAATTCAAGAAACGATACTATTTTGTCATCTGCCCCGGTGCAATGGACTGATCCTACACCTTCAGCACCATATATTGCCATGGAAGATGATGAATATTTTTTTGCAACAAGCCCTATTGATTCATTGCCAAATTCACTAGTGAATGGCCATAGTTCTGGATCCAGTAGTACGCCTTCAGCACCATATTTGCCCAGTTGAGAACGGATGTTCTTCAATTTTCTAAGGAAGATGAACTCTACAAAAAATTATTGTTGTGTTTAAGATATTCTTGATGAAGAAGCCCTTTTCCATTCCCTTCAAGTTGATCTATTTGGGAGAATGAGTATAATAGGTTGAGAAGTTTATGCCACTTGAAAGTTTGTTGTGTACCTTAAACAGTACAATTTGCTAGGGTAAGTTCAACAAACCAATTCTTTTTACTTATCTTCTTAGAAATTCTGGTCTTCTTGTATGATGCCAAGTATTGCAATAGCAACCATGAGTTTCTTTCTCTCTCTCTTTTTTTCAATTGTAATGTTTGGGGGAATTTTTTTTTTAAATAACTTCTTCCATTAGCACTAATGCACAAGTCAATTTTTCTCAACTGTCAAAGGGCAACACCAATTGACAAAGGAATTCTATGAAAGGTGTTTTTTTTTTTTTTTATCAAGTTAGTGTATTTTTATGTTCCATATGTTTTTTTAACCAGTATTGTTTGAGCAAATATGAATGAAACTTCAATGTGCAAGGATTTCTAGTTATTTGCTAGTACTAAGAACGAAACAAATTAGGTTTTAGTCTCCTAGTAGACATTTTGTTGTTAGTACAAAAAGAAAGATTAGAGCAGCAGCTTGCTTATATATCATGTTGTCTTGAAGAATCTGTTGTCATCTGCAGAAAATATAGATCACACAAAGTAATTTGCTCATCAGTCATATTCTTTTTTTTTTTTTCAATCTTTCCGTCTCTCTCTAGATTCTTTCCACCTCTAACCGTCAGGCATAAGTTCGAATTCTAAACTTGATAGTTGAGAAGACTCTTAACAACTCTTTCCAGCTCTCTCCTCGTCATCATCTTCCATCGCAACCTACATTGCATTCACTTAATCTTTATATTCTTTTTGCTTTCCAAAAAATGTCTATATTCATTAGAAAAAGCAACAAGATAAAAAGGGGAAAAAACACAAAAAACAAGGGGAAAAAGAAAAATGAAGATATCGTAAAATTGCACTCTTAAGCCCAAAGGAATAATAACCTACTGGAAAATAACATCAACAATCACTTCAGTGCCAGAGAAATTGTCCAAGGATAAAGAGGACAAAGAGGAGTTCTGTCCAACAAGAACAATCAAGAAATTCCACAATTGTATAAGTCCAAATTTCTCCGTTTAAAAAAAAAAAAAAGCACTTGATAGTTCGTACTATCAATCACAGACAATAATCAGTACAATTAGGAGGTATAGAGAATATGTAGAATATTATAACTTTAATAACAGAAACACCCTTAGAAATGACGGAGAATATGTAGAATATTTCAACTTAAATAACAAAAACACCCCTCAATAGGCTGATTTTAGATAATTATTATTTAACTTTTTACAAGAAATACATGCTTAAGGAAGGGAAAACAAAAAAATCTAACACAATTTCCTATCAAACTTTCTTGGGCTACCAAAAGCTAGAAAATTCTTAAGATTTTCCAAATGAATTTTCTTTATAGGCATGGTCAAGTGACCCAATTTATGACAAAAAAAAATGTTGTTACCTTGCTCTAAAATAGGTAAAAAAATATTGAGTTTTTTCTTTCTTTTGTGAAAAGGATGGAAAATAGTTTTAAGGGCAAATGTGCTTGACTACTTGCTCAAACAGTACCGCGGAGATTTATCACTTCATTTTGAAGTTTGAAATATCAGAAACCCTTGTGGAAAAAAAAAACTAGCTAACCAAGTGATTAAATAGACCATCATATTCTTCAAAAACTCCACTTATCAATTAACACTAGAATTTTGCCCGTATCTTAGCACAATTTTTTTTTATTTATTGTGAATTTATACAAATATGAATAATTTAAATACAAAAATTAACAACAATCCTATATGTCCATTCATAGTAACTTTAAAAAATTCACGTATTCTAAATGTTCAATTATTTACTAATTTTTAAAAATTTGTTTGCATACTTTCACTATAATATGATAGTATATATTAAATAATGTATCCCATAACAAAAACTTGGTAGATATTCTTTTTTCTATAAATATTCGTTTAGATAATTTAAATTTTTATAATGACCATCAACCTAGAACTATATATTCATATTTAATTAAGCAAAAAAGATCCAGCAATTGGTTTTTTTTCATCAATAAATATTTAGTTGCCAACAATAATGGTAATTCTGTCTGTATAATAATTAATTCTCTTTTTAACACTAAGTTAATTCAAAATTAAGGGAAGAGATGATGAGAAATATGAATACTAGGATGAAAGGAAGTAATTTATGAAATATGTAAGATTTTAATAACTGTAATTTGAAAAGTGCTTTACTATAGTTCTATGTAATAATTTGATAGAAAGCAGATATGATTAAGATAAGATTAGTTATTTTTTAAAAGTTATTTTAGATATCATTAAGATAAGATTAGTTATTTTTAAAATTTATTTTAAAATTAGTGATAATTTTTGAACATATAATATAATATTCAATATGGGTAAAACCCAAGTGACCCACAACCCGTTAATTCTCTTCAATTAGGCATACCACGTAAGAGTGAGAAACACTGTGATTAAAATAGTTACTTTCATATATATATATATTTGAGCAAACTTGCTTACTAGACATTTAAATCATATGGCCTTAACAATTAACAAACCAGCATTAATATACGAAGTAAAATATCAACACTAGACTCCAAAGCAAATAACATGAGTCATATAAGATTAACTTCATCTGCGAAAGAGTGAAAAAAAAAAAAAAAAATCGGAGATGGTTATAAAGTGGAGCATTTTCCTCTTTATCTTCATCACTTAATATGCTTAGTTGTCATCGTATTTTATGTTTTTTTCCTTAACAAAATATTACACTTAATCACTTACAAAATTCTGTTTTAACAAAGCATTAAATTCACGTCACTTACAATTAAAAAAATATTTTTTTTTCTCTTACGAAATAGAGAATTTATTTATGCTTTTATTTAGCTTTGAATCCTTAATTAAGTAATTACTACTATTACTTGTTTCCAAATTAAGGAATTAGTTTAGCACACTCCACTTGTCCTAGTTCCACCATTTTTTTGTTGATTTTATTTTCCTTCTTTACTTCAAACTCCTGAACTCATCTCTCCTTCCTCCCACGAAGAGAGGAGGGGTCCCAATTCCCAGCCCAAACTCGTTAAGAAACCTCCGATTCGCCTTTTTCTCAGTCAATCAATCAATCATTCGATCAATGACCTCCGCCGTGTCTTCCTCCTCTCCTTGGCTTCTCCCCACGCCACCTCCTGCTCCCAGCCCCTCCAATATGGCCCCACCAAACCCCCCTCCAGCTCCCCCTCCACCGCCATCCTCCTCCTCCCACGACCACGGCCACGAGGAGGAGGAGGAGGATTCCTCCTCAATTGCCTCATCCGTCTCGGACTTCTCCGACATCTACACGGCTTCCACTGCGACCACAATTCAACCGCCC